ATTATTTTGCAAATTGTTGTTCTGATCAGCTTTGTTCAATATTTTATAGTATTCTTCCCACTGTTCTACAGAAATAGGATTAGATTGATTTTTATGAGAATTTTTCAATTCATTAATGATTTTCCAAAATTGATTGGGATTTGTATTTCTCAAATGTGTTAATTTATTTACAATTAACAGCTCTCCCTTTTTTTGTTTAGTTTTGATCAATTTTTTATATTTCTTTTTCTTCACAAAATATATTTCTCTTAACTTTTTGTCAAAAGGTTGTCTGCTAATCAGTTTAGCACAATAAATCAAGTCTTTCTTATAGGTTCTACAATCTTTGTCAAACCACTTTTTCTGTTTAAATTATGTTTATGTTTTTGTTTTGTTTTGATGTTTGATTTCTTCTTTTTAAAGGTTTGATCAGCTACATCACCAATAATTGAGTTGAAATTCAGCACTGCATCATGTATTCCATCGTTATTCAAGTTATATTTGTTGTCTAAGAAAGTTTTAATTAAATTTTGAGTTTTTTCAGATGATAAGTTTTCATAATAATCAAAGATAGACAGTTTGTCTCAGATCCAACTTTTAGGGAGGCTATTTTTGTTATATTTTGAATTAATTTTCTTAGAATTGATGCAGTGATCTGACAGGATGGTAAAATTATGAACTTGGAAATATTTAAAATTACAGAGCAAGTTTGATGAAGCTAAGGCATAATCTACTGTGCTATTGCCGTTGTAATGATAACATGTGAAGTTACCACACGAGTCACCAGGAATTCTTCCATTTAGGATTCTAATGCCAGTGCTCTTACATAGTTCCAATAGTGATTTACCGTGTGTGTTTATAAGTATGTCTCTGTTACTACGTTGTAATATGGTATCATCATTTGTTTGATTGTAAGTTTGATTGAGCACCCACTGTCCCAGGTGTCGAGAAACTGTGGATTCAGTTGGTAATCATTAAATGTTAAAGGTCTTGTATAGTCGCCTGGCACGGGGCTTTATGGAATAATCTACACAAAAGTAAAAATATTGTCATTTTCTTTGTTACAAGGATAAAGAAAGTGAAATAAAAATATGGGGTCACTACTCATTTCAGATAAAATTAATCAACGGAATTTTATCATTGTTTTCTATGGCAGATATATAGTGTTCAGAAGTATTAAAAAAACTGACAATATAAGGAAACATGTTTTCATTGTGGTCTATGGAAAACACTGCTCAAATGACATTATGGTTATGATTTTACCATGTTCCTAAAAAAACAAAAACATGTAGACATGCCTGCTCTCCATTAATGGTAGTGAGAACACATCCGTATAATTACTGTACACTTATTCTTAATTAAACAGCAACTAATTATGGCATAGATTTAGAAAACTTGACAGCCATTGTGTCATAGAATGTTAAATACAACAGTGCTGCTTGCTAACTGATACTCTTTCAAAATCAGAACACAGTTGGTAAAAAAAAACAGTCATTTCTATAAGCAGTAAGCTTATTTTGACAGTTTTAGTGAACACTTTTGAATGTCAAAAAACTTGAATTTTAATCACATGATCTGATCACAAGGTGTTCTTATATGGGCATTGCAAGGGTCAAGAGTTCAAAAAGGACTTCTGTATATACAGTTGAGCCCTCACCCTTAACCCTAACAATCCAGCCCCCAATATAATTCAATATGCCCCTCCAAATAACTATGAGTGACCTGAAAAGGGGTGTATATAATTGAAAAGGGGGAGAAGCACTGGAGGATCATGGTTACAATTAGAGTTATGAATGAGGGGGACCAAATTTGTTTGTTTCCTACCGATACCATTTCTAAACTATGCATGAGTAATTGTATACAGAAAAATGATTTCTACACAAAGACTGTTCTAGAATTTCTTTCCTTGTCTCTGCATTGTATAGATAGTACACGTCATAGAACATCATGTGTATGTGATGAATGGAGCTACCACATTTGTCGTTTTAATACAGAGATGTGTAACTATGACATCATGTTATTATTTTAAATATTGTGATTCTCTCTGTGGTTTTACACAAATTTTGAGCTTACGCTGTGCGCCGATCACCTTCCTAGATAGGGGAGGGGAAGTGTTGCACGATCTTGTTAGCATTAACTAGTTATTTATTTTTTTACAGAACGGCTACAATGGCATATAAAATGAAGGACGTACATTCCGATTTGAAGTCTGATTTAGAAACAGTAATTGGACTGTCCATTGGTCAATTTGTACTTGGTATATTATGTGTTATTTGTGCTGTGATTTCTGTTGAGATAGAATGTTATCAGTATTCACTTGGTGTTGCAATGTGGACTGGTACTTTGGTAAATACACTGTTTATTTATTTAGTAATCTCTTCTTTTATCATTAAATACATCAGTATTAGTTACAAGCATTTCACCAATGTTGTCATTTTTCATTTCATATACTTTATTCTATATAGTGAATATACAGTGTATAAAGGAAATCTATCATGAAAACTAAATTAAATGTCTTTTTTTTTCATTATTATGTTATAGTACAGTTCATTTAAAAAAATCAAAACAAAAATTAAAATGACAAGCCGGTAGGCTGGTTGGCGATCCGCTCCGCTCAAAAACAAGCAATATGTTTTTGGTTGTTTCCATAGTGTGACATAAACGTGAAGCTAACGTCGGTATATAACTAAATGGGCCCGTATACGAAGTTTGCAAAAAACATTCAGTCTTTTGAAGTCAATTAGTTTATTACTAGGACGTATTCTGCTGTTACATCATTTATTATTTCCATCCTTTTTGCGATAGTATATTCTAGAATGAAGGCAGCATTTACAGTTCATTCAAAGTTCAAAGTTGCGTTGGGATTATGTTGATACAGTGTAACAATGTCGGCGTTGGCGATCTCCTATCACTGCGCAACGTAGCCAAATTAAAAAGCATGGTCATTTGAACACTGCTATTACAAAACCACAGTCAGCTAGCATCAGTGTCGCTGGG